CGAGTGTAGCTGTAATAGAAGCTGAAAATAATGATGATACTGGGGCTGTTGATGATGAAAATCTTTTAGAACTAGTAGACACACCAGGGTGAAGAGACATACAGAGATGTTAATGTTAATGATCATTATCACTTGAACAAAAAATCAGAAGTAAATGCGTTGCTTCAAGAATTTGAGGATATTTTTACTGATATTCCGGAACTACAGATCTTGAATCTCACAAGATTGAGTTGACTGACAAAACACCAATTCGTGTTAGACAATATACGATACCATATGCAAAAAAGGACAGCGGTAGAGGATGAAATTAAGAAAAATGCTTGAATGTGGTATCATTGAACCAGCAAATTCTGATTATAATTCTCCAATTGTTTTGGTGAAGAAAAAGGATAATACAAACCGCTTTTGTATTGACTTCAGACGACTCAACTCTGTAACAAAGTTTGATACAGAACCAATGGGTAATGTTGAGGATGTGATGGCGAAACTTAAAGAAGATAAGTTCTTCACGAAAATTGATTTGACCAAAGGTTTTTGGCAAATACCAATTGAAGCAAAATCAAGACATCTCACAGCATTTTCTACAACAGAAGGTAGTTACCAATTCAGAAAGATGCCATTTGGAATGGTCAATTCTGGTGCAACATTTAATAGAATGATGCGGAAGTTGCTTTCAAAAGTGAATGATACTGATAACTATGTAGACGATGTACTTGGACATACGGTTACATGGGAGACACATATAAAAATGTTGAGACAGTTGTTCCAAAGAATACGAGAAGCAAAGATCACAGTTAAACCTTCTAAATGTATGATTGGGTTTGAAAGTATACCATTTACCGGTCATGTTGTTGGCAAAGGACAAATGCAAATGGAAGATGACAAATTAGGCAAAATTAGAGACGCTATGCGACCAGAATCAAAGAAGCAACTGAGATCGTTTCTTGGTCTAGCTGGATACTACCGAAAATTCATTGCTTCATTTGCAGAAATTGCTTCACCATTGACAGATCTTACGAAGAAAGGACAGCCAAATAAAATCATATGGAAACCAGAACATGAAAAAGCCTTTACGACATTGAAGCAAGTACTGACACGATCACCAATACTACGACTTCCAGACTTTTCAAAGTCGTTTGTTTTACAATGTGATGCCTCAGATACCGGAGTTGGGGCTGCAATTCTTCAACAGTTTGATGATGGTCTGCTTCCAATAGCTTACGCGAGTAAGAAATTGTTGAATAGAGAAAGAAACTACTCGGTTATCGAAAGGGAATGTCTTGCAATGGCATTTGGAATAAAGAAATTCAACAAATATTTGTACGGGAAAGAATTTGAGCTGCATACAGACCATGCTCCTTAAACGTATATTCAGAAATGTAAAGTTGAAAGTGGCCGCATAATGAGGTGGGCATTATTTCTACAGAACTATAAGTTTAGAATAGTAGCTGTGAAAGGAAAGGACAACGTGTGTGCAGATTACCTAAGTAGACTCGATACTTGAAAAGAAGACATTGTAGATTATTCATTTTGTTTGAAAACAGTGGAGTGTTTTCTTGAGTAGGGGGCTGTCAGAATAATCACAGTTTCACTGTAGATAGTTTTTTTTTTACACAACGAGTCAGCGATACACTGAAGTGTATCATATTTCAATGTACAGTTTCATTTATAAACCTGTTGCTGGGAGTATGAAATATGTATACATGTTTAAATGTCAAATATCGTTTCAGCTAGCAAATATGCGCGTTTAGAGAGAGATTTTACATCAGTTAGGAGACACACGCTTATAGTGTGAGGGGTTATTTTTTTATTGGGAAGAAAATTTTGTTGTTTTGAAGAGAATTTTGTTGTTTTGAAGTCAGTTTTGTTGGTTTGTTGAAGTGGTTGAATATAATTGTGGTGATCTTAATTGATCAGGGTTTATTGGTTGTAATTTGTTGTTTTGGTTGTTGAGTTATATCTGTTTGTGAAGATATAATTGGTTGATATTGGTTGAATGTTTGGTATTATATCAAGATTATATTAGTTGCTGCTTTGTTTTGAGGATATATGTAAATATTGGGTGCTTTAGTTTAAGTTGTTTTCTGATGCTGATTAGATTGTGTGAAGTTAATATTGTTGGATGAATGTTTGTGGCTTATACCGTATCTTAGAGTTGTAAAAATATTCATTTTTTGTGTTCTTCATTTTGTGGTGATTTTATTGTTGTTTGATCATAAGTTGTTTAGAGCTTGGGCTCGCCAGGTGTCTTGTTTCGTATAAAAGACGTATACGTGAAAAGATATTTCATATAAGTGGCTGATAAATGATGTGTGTTTGTTGTGGGTGGTGGTCGGAGTTCTTTGTTTTGGGTGTAAATAATAATCAGAGTTTGTTGTTTACATGTATATATTGATTTGAGATAGAAAAGGATAAAAATACCTAAAAAAAGATAGTGTCAACTAAACAATTACATGCTAGTTTTCCAACTGAGAATATTTCACTTTTATGTCAGGCGGTGCTGCCCAGCCTCCATATCTTGGAAATTGGTTCTAGTATTTATTACTAAATCTTTTCTTAGATTAAATAACATCAAGGCAGACATTTCTCCTGACAATGATTTACACACGTATTGACTAATGAAATACATGCAGTAATTAAGCACAAGAAACACACTGGCAGTAATAAAAGTTATCGTAAGAACTCCAGAGATTTGAAAAGTCGGGTATAAATTCATAAGCCTGGGCTTTATGTTAGCAACTCTCAATTATAAAAAAATAATTAAGTAATTAAGTTTATTACCCTCACATTTTTCGTAATGCTAATTTCCCATAGGCCTCTGGAAGTTATTCTTACTGTTAATGCAAGTGTACCACGTGACTAAGAATTTTGTACTGTTACATAGGTAACAGTATTTTTTAACAGTATAAAATCTGGTCACGTGGTATTTTCTAAATAAAATGAAATAAAATGGCCGCCATTTTTCTCTCGATTCATTCTTATTTTCGACGATAGGGCATCCCCGAAGTAACTATTACTCTGATAAAATTTAGTTCTTTGCAACCTAGAGTAACTTTCGCATGTTTAATATCTTTTTGTTGAATAGTCAACAGGAAACATCCGTTTTCAAGTTGTAATGTAAATAATTTTTGTGTTGCAGACAATTAAAGCAAGCAATAAAGGATAATTTAACAATTTAACCAGTGAAACGTTACAGATATAGTTGGTGGACAGACATCTGTAGGATATCATCGTTATTTTCTAAATGCACTTTGTCAAAAACCATGCGAAGAATATTCTGGATGCAGAAGGATCCGATTTCACAGATCATAACCTTTTAAATGGGTAAGTGTTTTGTTTTCTGAATAAAACACAGCTTATTTTATGTTTATGACTGGTAGATATCATCACTTGCCTAAAGAATAAAAGAAAAAACAGCTTCTCAAGTAGGATTACAGTGCACTTAAAACTTGCAAGGTAAGGACAGTTTAGTTATTGCTTCTCTTGGCTTATTTTTGTTACAGTTAGATGTAGTTACCAAATTCAGATCATCACTGTATTTGTTCGGGGTAATAAAATAAATAACATATGGGTTTGTGGGTAACAGTAAAAATATCACCCCTCGTATAAATACTGTTACCCTCGGCTACGCCTCGGGTATCAGTATTTTCCTCGGAATGATATTTTTACTGTTACCCACAAACCCATGTGTTATTTATATAATAACAACACAAATGAAAAGGTCAATATGTATGAATACGCAAGTAATTCGGATTTTTTTTTTCAAAACTACCAGATTCTATGAAAAATAGACAAAAAGGTTTTTCTAAAACATAATACAATATACAGGGTAAGCTTAATTATCAAAGTTTAATTTAGCGCCTCCAACTCCCCATTTTAAGGTAAAAAAGACGATTTTCACGTGAGTTCTCTAAGTATATAGAAAAGTTTTCCACATAAATCCGTAACGTTTTCCAGGAACTCCGTGACAGTTATCATAAGAATTCAAAACAATTTATCATAAGAACTCCATCCATCGTGTAACAGTTCCTCCCATGACTTATAAACTTTGTCTCTTGTTGTTTTCTCGTCTACGGTAAGTATCTTCCCCATTGCCTCTAGTTTTTATTTCTTTGATTACACCCCCCTCCCCCCGGTCTCCTGTCCCCTTCCCCTTTGTGGGCCTATTATTATTTTCTTTGAATTCCTAATCAGTTACAAATTATTTATCATTTAATGATTAATGTGTCTTTGCCCTGTCCTTTTTATGTTTGGGGTCCGCCTGGGCTCCTTGCCATTGGTTCTTGTTGCTTGGTCATATGGGGGTTGCGTTCATTGAACGCCGCCTTTCCTTGTCGATCTTGTTCATCATATTTTGACCTGTGCTTGATATCCGTTTGCAGTCGAAAAGAATTGATTTTTATTGATAGCCTAAGCTTACGCTTAATTTGTAAGACGCATATATTGTCATTTGAAATAATTACTCTGCACTCTATTTCAAATGTCAGAGTTCTTTATGTAAAAAACAACGTATCTCGTATGGAAGCGCAAAGGACATGAATGAAAATCCTCTGTGTACGAAACTGAACTATGTAAGTCAAGTGTAAAATAATGCTAAAAATACGTACATAGTAAACTAATATAACTGAATTCACCACTGCTTAAAGGTCATATACAAAAAATGGTCATGAGGAGAGTGCGTGCATTGTGTAAGATTTATTAAAATGTGCAAGTATGTGTATATGGTTGTGTGTATCTGTGTGTGCGTGTGTATGTGTACGTGTGCGTGTGTAAGTGTGCGAGTGTGTGTGTGTGTGTGTGTGTGTGTGTGTGTGCATACCTCGTCCATTACAGTTTAGAAAATAATTTATGAAATGAAACATGTTATATTAAATATAATAATATAAAAGCATAGTGAAAAAGAAAAGGATGTGTTCATACATACCTCAATAAAAATTTTATGCCCGAGTTAAGGAACAAATGTCAAATAAACACTAACGGTCAAATAAAGTGTGACTTACCAGTTCAGGCCAGGTAAGTTTTTTTTCCATGATTACAGTTTCTGCATAGGAATACCCTGCTTCTCTGATGTCGTCGGATGTTGTTTTCTCACATTTTCCTGTCAGTTCTGATACACGCATGCCATGTTCTGGCTATTAAAAGAATAAATAATTTATTTTACAAAACATAATTATTCCTTTTGCGGCTAAAAAGGCTAAAAATTGAAATGCAATCTACATAAATAACTTTGTCAAAAATAAACTAGAAATGTGTTCATACCACAGTGATACCCTTTTCTTGCATAGCAGACTGGCGTTTACACACGCCGAAAATTTCATCTGGCACAGGGGTGCCAGATGAGTTACGTGTCATACAAAATGTCATTTAAGCGCATTTTATCGATGAACCGTGTTGAAATAATGTCATTTTAGAAGGAAACTATGTGCTCAGGATGACGTCATTTAGCCGTTATTATTTAAGTTGTAAATTCATACGCTATTGTAAGAAAATAGTTTTGGATAATATGAAATTAATTTCCATGAACATATATCTTATTGAGGTAAACCATTTTAGATATAGAATAATATGGCAGAATTTGCAAGAAAAAATATCTGACATTTGTTTGCGATTCGGATCAGAATTTCTCACTAACCAGATAGAAAAATCCGTAAATGCTACTTAAAAAAGCAGTGTTGTAAATCTTTTCTCACACTGGCTTATCTCACACTCCATGTGCAGCACTTCTTTACGTTTTTCTACACATACGCGATATTTAGTTCTATTTTGACAACGATCTATTACATTGTCCACGGAATCGAAAAAAAAAGATACTTACTTTCACGCTCCAATGAGTCCTACTTTACCTAGGTCCGACCTTTTTCTTATCGATCTGTTACTTAAAATTTCACACTTTAAAATTTCGTAAAATCGGATATTATAACACTTTACTAGGATATCAAACGACGATTCTTGATGACAAATCTCATTTTAATGTATTTTTATTGAATATTTGGCCAAAACTGAAGCAGTAGAAAAATCTTCGCAAACGGTAAAATTAGCGTTTTTGTCAACCATAAAAGTATGGAATGAATTCCTTATAAACACCGATATTATGACATTTTCCACTTTTAATGTTGAAGATTTTTATCATGATAACCTTACTTTTTGATGATGAATCTCAGTTTAAATTTATTTTCATTGAATACTTCGACACAGAAACTGGATCAGTAGATTTGATTTTTGTGGACAGTAAAATGCTTGTAGAAGTGCAGTGCAGAATCATAACTCTGCCTACCCAACAACCGGTTCTTGTTATTATCATTATCATCATCATCATTATTATTATCATTATTCATTAATTAATTATCAGGTCTAGCCTTGTCTAATATTCATTACTTTACTAGAAGAACAAGTATCCACAAATTGAATTAACAAGATAAAGTAAAGTACTTCTAAAAAATAAACCTACAAAACTTACGGAAATGAATAACAAAAGCCCTTACTGCACTATAAAGGAAATTTTAGCCGCGCCGTTACAAAACCAACATAATGCGTTTGCGACCAGAATGAAGCCAGACCAGCCTGCGCGTCCGCGCTGTCAGATAAGGATCCATGCTGTTCACTTACAAATCCTATAACAAGTAGAGAAACTGATTGCGAACAGCATGGATCCTAATCAAACTGCGCGGATGCGCATGCTGGTCTGAATCTCTGCTTATCGCAAACGCACATGTGTTGGTTTTTAATGGTGCGGCTCATTTTAAGTGACAAATACTACACTACAGTTTCTATTCAGTCATTAAGTGCATATAATATGTTAAACATATCTTGAATAAAAATAGTTTAACTTTTCTTCAAAATGTAAGCAACTTTTTCTCAAATCAGTCAATAATTGTTTATAAGATATAAACTATTTCTTGAATTATGATATTCTTACTTTATAAAAATCTTAGCAAATTATTCGCAAAGTTTATTTCTTGAAATATTTTGGCTCATCTGGAGCATGCAACTTTTATGTAAAGACCGCTTTACTCGCTTAAAACAAATCATAAAAGACACAAAACACTACCTTGTTCAGAATTGTTCCTATACACTTCTTGAAATCTTTGTTACGGTTGTTGATACGAAAATATGCTGTACTTATTTTTAAACCATAAACCGCATACAAAATAATGCCCAAACCAAGGATGAAGAAAAAAGACCAATTTTTCAGAGTCAGAGCCATAATCTTCATCGTAGAACTGCCTCCGAAGCTAAAGAAAATATGTGGACTGACAATTTCTGGCATATCTTAAAATGTAATTGATCATTCTCTAAGGAGGGCCGTCCCTGAAGTTATTTAATTTATGTCCGATTAATTCTGTATATAGATGCTTAGACTTTAAATATATTATTGGAAAGCAGGGACATTAATGTTAATTTCTTTTAAAGGAAGCCTTATTTGTCTGTTTAATCATATCGTTAAACTTTCAGTAGAACTTTCAACAAGATAATGCAGTCGCTAGGTTTCCACCATGGATTTGTCTCTGTACATTTACCACTAAGCTAAATACTTTATTTAAGAATTTAATTTTATGTACGTCTTCTGTCATACAGTTTGAAATATTTGTCCTTTGTAATTTTATGCAAAATATTTCGATGGACGAGCTTTTAATATTCTTGGTCTTTAAAGTATCATATCATAAAGTATGATATTTCTTAATGTCAAAATTTGATATCATATTCTTTTAACTTATTTTTACCGTTATTTACTTTCTTCATTAATATTTCAATCTCCAATGTCATCAAATGTCCAACAAAAAATCATTTTATACAATTGTTCCTATATATAGTAACATGCTTCACGATAATTCCATCGCGTGACAGATCGAAAGAAATTTCATGAACAGCCCTCGTAATTAGAACACGCATTTTCAAATAGTCCTAATTGCTTTAAAAGTAAAATTTTGACGGACAAAGATCAAACGTGAATAGATTTTCCAGAACCACTTAAGTTAAACTCCTTAAAAACCCATTTAGGATCAAACAAATCGAAATTGCTTTTTTCCTTTGGTGAACACATTTTCGCCCTACTTAAGAACATCCTGCCTTTGATTTCGCTGGACGAAAATAGTTTATTCTGAAAATTATATTCTCGCTATTTTGGGCTATGACCCTTGTTATATGTGAACTCCCAGTTATGTTCAAATCGCTTCTAACCTACGATTTTAACAAAAGTATGTAACAACCACCAGGTGAATAAAAAATTTTAATAATTAGTTCCAAGTTACAAAATCTACAGAGCAGCAATTACGATATGTAAGGACAAGGTTGATGTTTAGTTACCACACCATGTTAAACTTTTTACACAACTGTAAATTACATATAAAAAAACTTGTTGTCAAGACTTTGAAGACCAATTCCTACTGCAGTAACTATTTCGTACTGTAGAATTACAAGACCCTTAATGCTATGGTTAATTTCACTTACCAGATAGAAAAATCCCTGAATGTTACTGTAAATAGCGGTGTTGTAAAATCTTATTCTCATACTTCATGTGAGTTTTTCAATACAAGGGATGTAATACAGCATAACTGAATAATGTTAACAAATAGGAGTTAGCTTGTCATGTTATAAAGAACACCAGACAAATAAGATGAAAAAAAAGTAAATTTTCATGATGGAGACACGGTAAAATGCGGTTTATATGGCAGAAAGGGCAAAATAGTAAACAGAGTATATTCGCCAGGAACCTATGCCATGCGGTACAACTATTCATTGATGGGGAAATTTTGACTCTGGCAAAACAAAAAATGGTAAACTGTCTTCCTGATTATTTAATAATCTTCAATTTTGATATTAACAATCAATTCAGTATTCCCAAGAACAAGAGCAAACACCCAGCCTGAATCTTCATGTATTGATGGCTTGTTTGATACTTAAATCCTAGAGACCCTTGACAGCACAGAACTTGACAACCTTTCATCTGACATTTCTTGTGTTGCATCACTTCTCCCTTTAAAGGTAAATACAAGTGCTTTACCTAACCAAATTCCAAGAACAACTTCACCTTCTTCTGTAGAAACTGGCTCTTAATTGCAAAATATTTCCCAAATTCTTCAAGGTAATAGGTTTGCACCTTCTCTTGAAACTGAAATGTAATTTACAAAGAATGAAATTCAACAAACAAGAAGGAAAACAATATCACATCAAAGACTCAACGTACCCTCTTATGAAAAATGTGTATAGACGAGAATTGGATTTAGAATACCTGAAAAGAAAATATATATGTTCAGCAACTTAACAGTACCATCTAAATGACTTTATGTTATTCTTGTAATCCGAGACTGAACAAATACTCAGCGTATTTTAAAGTTTCTAAATGTTATGAAACGAAAATATGACGTTCTTTTATATTGCATTTAATGACTGGACTTTGCTTACAGAATTAAAAAAAAAAACTTGCAAATGTTTGATGTTTTAAAAAGCAAAGTTATAGTATTATGTTTTAATGATGGACTAAGCTAGAGCTCGTACTTAACCCTTTCACTGCCATGGGGACGGCTTAAGCCGTCTCTGTTATTTTCGGCGTATTTGCCATATGGACGGCTTTAGCCGTTTCTATAATAATCATAATGATAATAATAATAATAAATTAATAATAATAATAATAAAAATATTCAATATAAAGAAAATTATACCATCAACAATAATTATTATCATACTAGCATATTTGGAAACATATATAATTATTATAATACTAATAACAAATAATAATAAAAATTATATAAATTAATAATGTAGTAATTTTTAGAAAACCCTCTGGCAAATTAGTGATCAATAAAACAATAATCCTCTGGCAGCGAAAGGGTTAAAGGCACTTGATCAGTCTTCATGTTGTCTTTGTTTAACTCCTGTAAATAAAACAATTGGGTCATGCAGTAAAAATTTTAATTTACGAGAGCTGTTCGAAAAGATATATTGTCCTCTATCACGTGATTCACATGGGACACGATTAAAACCAATACAAACTTGTATAGGGTAATTCAATATCTACACAACGGTTTATTAGTGTACATGTTAGATTAAGTGTAAGACATACAATTTGCCATTTAAATACACACAGTCTTTGACCACTGTAGTAAAAACGGTTGGTAGAAGCGTCGACAAAAAAGATGAAATACGGGCTTACATCAAAGCCCGCCCAAAACTTGGTTGCTCTTTAAAGCAGTTGATGACTGAACTCTGTACTGCTTATGGGCCTTATTGTGTGTCTTATGACACAGTTAGGCGATGAAAAAAGAAATTTGATTCTTGTGTAGAGTGTATCAAAATGCACCAAAATCAGGAAGGCTAAAATCTGCATTTCGTAACGAAATCGTTTCCAGATAAAGGATATCATTGAAGGAGATGCCAGTTCGTGATATTGCGCGAAAAGGTAGGCAT